GGAATTTGTGTCTGTATATCAGCACTGGTCGTCTTGCTTTCTACTTCAAAATGATAAAGATCAATCTGTGGAGCATACATTGGTATATTGTCCTATCTGAACATTTGGACACATTTTACATACCACCTCTTAGACATAAATGAAACCACAAATTGTGAATTTCATAAGGTGCAAAACATAAACTAGTCCACACTATGTAGCCTTGACATTTTATAGACACCAGGTAAGGATGCAAGACTTTCTCCCCAAAAGATCAAAGAAAGTTTACCACTGTGTGCTGTAATTAGATACTTATATACAAGAGGTTATTTCCAGATGATGCAAAAGTTTTATTTGAAGATATATATATTTTTAAAGGAGCAAAAGGAATTGATGAAAAATGAGAGAGAAAGTTTTTAAAAATGACAATCTTTCATTTATTATCAAAGAGAGAACTAATGAAAGAGAGCAAAAATTAATTTTATTTAGAGAAAAAAAGGTTTTAAAAAAATGTAAATGAATTTGCCTCAGTTGAAATTTTGTATCTCCCTACATGACAATAAATCAATCAATTTCTCTGACAAACGAAGCAATTGATTGGTTGAATATTTGTTAGATGTACAGCATGTGTTGCATTACAATTTCAACAGATTGTGGATGACAAGTGGACTAAAAATGTTAAAGAATCAAAGAATATTGCAAAAGCTCACAAGAGAAACGTATGTGCCAATTATATGTATTTATTTATATCAAGAATTAGGCCACATTGACATGCACAAATTCTCTCGAAGCAACAGTCTGCACTTTTGGATGATTGGAATCATGTGAACCAACAAAAGGAGTATGTGAAGAGTGCTCGAGTGCTACACGTGTGAACACTGTGCAAACGAAGCGCTAACAATACTGATTTATGAACAATGGTCAAGCAATACTGCATCAGTATAGCATTCTTTGGAAATGGTAGACATCTTTCCAATTGGTATGAAGGATTATAGGCATGTGATCAAAATAAAGAAACATACTGAACAGGAAGGGAAGTCAGGAAAGAGAAGAATTGCAAAGGAAATGATGAAAAAAAAAACATGATGAAATAAATAAATCACTGTAAGATGTTGTGATCGTAGTTAGAGTTTATGTAAAATGGTTGGCTGGCTCAGTGATTAAACTATGATCAAAATAAGTCGACCTTCAACATGCAATCATCTTCAACTAATACAATATTACTCCTCTTATAAACAAACTTTTATTGATTTCTTGACTAAAGAGTTCTGTCTTCTGTTTAGTGTGGGCCGTCTGTTCAATGTTAAACCTAACCTAAGTCTAGACTTAAACAAGTGGTAGATCTTTTGTAATGTTAGTAAAAGTCACAAAAAAATGTTTTGGTGTTTGCCCCTTTTTAATCTTAGTTTCCTGCTGTGATAAAGGTCATGGGCAACCATGGAAAAAGTAAGGTCATAATTATGTTGTGCAACAAACAAGTCTATTAAGATCCTTCAAGAGATTGAAATTGTGTAGGCATTTGTTGCTGCCAATTTAAGAATTAAGTTGATCAGACCACTTTGTAACACAAAAAAATTTATGATGAAAAATTATAAGATCTCAAAAGAATTGAATCTATTTCTCAATTATGTTCATAATAAAATATCTGATCTATGGGTAACTTGTTTAAAATCAGAAAAAATAAAATAGCACTGTAATCAACCACCTTCAGCCACATTCCCTTTCCCCATCTTCACAATGTCAAGCTATTACAAACTGTGTCTAATACCTTGACTTCTATCTGCTTGTTTTTTACATCATGGAAGGTTGTAAATGCAGCGATTTGATTGGATTGTATGCTTCCAAATACAGCCAACCAGAGACATCAACAAAAAGTCATAATGTTAACAGTCGATCTGTCAAGGGCTGATTGGCTTTATTGGCTGGCATACATCCAATCAAATTGCTACATTCCATGATACAAGGTAGCTATTGCAGTCAAGGTAAAAGATGAAGTTCGTAATGGCTTGACACTGTGAAGATGGGCATTCCCATGATTATTTCATGACTTATCATCAGATTGTTACACTCTTTGTGCTCTATATTTTAAAATTATATATTGATTAAGCTAGTAGACTTGGTAATCTTAGGATTTAAGTAAGCTATCAAAGGACAGACACATGGAGATTAATCTGTTCTAATCCAACTGATGTCTGCTTGCAGTAATGATCATTAAAATTGTGATGACGCACGCTGCATGCTAGCAGGATTTATTAGAAAATTCTATTGTTATATTGACAACACCTGTACATATTCTACATGTTCTGTGTTCTTATGACCTTATGACCTTCATTCATTATTCTCTAATACATCCATATATATATGTCAGAGTCAGGAACAACAACTTGGAGACATGATACATCTGCATCGTGCATGTCGGCTTTTCTCATACATTCCTCTACTTAGACAAGACTGAATGTGGATTATGAATACATTAAGTTATTTAAGGCACTTCATAATATACAGGACATTGCATTTCAAGTGACTTCTGCTTCGATCAAAATCTTGGTTTTTTATGGCCTTCAAATGGTGACAAATATAGATCATCACAGGCAATTTTTTGTATCTCTAGTGGAAAATTATATAGGACAGCCACTTTTAATTGCTTCTGAAGATTTTAAACTCCCAAGGTAAAAACTAAATAAAAACGTCCTTGGCTAGAAAACATGAAAGTGTCTTTTTCATGTAAAATTTGACAATTTTTTATTTTTGCCTTAAGGTTTTTTAAAAATATTTTATTGAAGTCTGTTTCAAAAGAAATTCACCATGATTTTCTATATTGAAATATTGACTGCATTTCTTCATTGACCCCTTCGGATATATGGAAACTGTCATTATGAATTATTTTGCTTGACTTCATTGGACCTTTGAGAATTTTAAGTCTTATTTCATTTTAATCGTTTATGCGATATCTGGAAATTTCTTTGAAGGAGAGAAATTATTATTCTGATGGTGAACTAAGTAAGATATTCCAGAAAATTCAATCTTTGAAAGTACAAGGTGAAATAAAACACTATTCAGCTTTACATGCTCTCAAAGAATCTTTAACATGTACACAGTCTGTAGCACACACTGCCTTGGCTTATTGTTAAAACAACAGTTTCCCAACGAAAGCCTTGAAAAATGATCTTGTTTACAAAGAAACATCAGTCTTTTGGTGTGAAATGCGATAATTCTTTGCATTTGAAGGTAGGGACAAGCAAGCCTGCCCCAGCGGCTCATGATACACCAGAATTCAAATAATTAACAGTTCAGGGTAGTGTTTTAAGAATAGCACTGTTTTATCAAAAGCTGCCTATGAATTTGAGGTATTTTGTGGTGTCTTTAGGATTCTTTCAAATTCAAGACAATTCTTGTTTTACTGAATGCAGCTATATGATTTGATTGTACGCTAGTGAATACAGCATATCATGGCCCACAACAGAAAGTCTGTTAACAATAAGCCATTATGTCTACAGTCCGTCTGTTGAGGGCATATGATTGGTTGTATTTGCTGGTGTATAAAACAATTAAATTACTGCATTATTTGATACAGGAATAGTGGCTATTGCAGTCAAGGTATAAGACTAAGCTCTTAGTAGCTTGACATTGTGTAAATGAGAGCTGCAGTAAATCTGCACCGAGTATAACAAGCAATTACTCTCTAACAATCATCGTGTTTATGGTTGTCAATAACTTTTCAATTACTCTGAGAGTGTATACTGCTTTTATATCAATATGAGAGAAATTGAATGTCAATTATTTAATGTAACCCTGATATTACCATGTTTACAAACCATTGATTGAAGAGCTTATAAAAACCCATTTAAGTTGACACATTGCTGAGGTTGTTTTTTATGTAATCTTTGTGTAATTTTAATTGGTTATAAACACACCATTATGTAATTTTTTTTGTCATTAATGGTAAATGTGACTGGTATGTAATTATTAATGAGATACTTCATCTTAGTAAAGAAATACATGACAAAATCGATAATATTTATTTGAAAACAAATTAAAGCTGTCCATATTAGGTATATTTTTCTTACTGATTATTGAATCTTTCAAGCCTATGGATGATTTTCCAATGGTTCCTTTTTTTTTTTACCAGGAAATATAAAATTAATGAAATGAAGCATTTTATGTATGAGATCTAATATCAGTTTTAAAGATTCTTTATGATAATTTAATTGAAATACATGCAGACTTGCATTTAACATTCTTCCCACTTCCTCCCCCACCAGTCCCCATCTCCATCAAACATGGTACAATAGTTCGAAGATAGCCATGACATCACAATAAACTACATTCTACAATTTCTATACATACATGTATTCTTTACAGTCTTAAAATTCAATTTTGAATAACTATCAAAACCTGAATCTATGATTGAATTTTTTGTAATGTACATACAATTTACTGCTTATTGATAAGAGCTCATCTGATGCTAACACAAGTTTCAGATATAAAGACAGGTAGTGTGGAATTGGGGATAAACTATCCAAAATTAGAACTTGAGGTGCATGAGTAATATTAGCAAAATGTGGTCTGATAATTCTTAAGCTATATTACAGATTTATTGATAAAATAAAGGGGAGCGGTCAGCATTTTTGGGGATTGATTTGGGTCCTTATTCTGATTGAATAGTCTTAAGAAAATTGCTTAATCTCTCCAAATATACTTCAAACTAGAAATGTCTATTCCTATGTATGGCATAGTCTCACTAAAACTTCGAGTGAAATTTTAACTTTCAAATAAGAATAATCGTGAATACACATGGATTTGAAGGCTCAAATTTCGACGATGAGCTGTGAACACTATTACTGTTTATGTAAGCTAAAAATATTCCTGTTTCTGAAACTTAGGTATAATTGGTCGAACGGATGGTGATGGTGATGGTGCTCCTTTAATGGCTCAAAATTCCTTATCCTTATCAAGCTTCTTCTTATATCTTTTCAGTTTGTGGAACTCAAGTTATCACCAAAAATGCCGCCTTTAGAAACCTGGAGGATTGTGCTGTGATAGAGGGCAATTTAAAAATATACTTATTTGATTTTGAACCCAATTCCTTACCTAATCTCTTAGAAATCACTGGTTACTTGTTGTTATATCGAGTATCAAACTTAGATAATCTTAGCAATGTTTTTCCAAATTTAACAGTAATTCGTGGACAAGAATTAATGTATAATTATGCTCTAGTCGTATATGAAATGTCAGATCTGGAAGATATTGGATTACCAAGTTTACGTGTGATTAAACATGGTGGTGTGCGCATTGAAAAAAATATGAATTTGTGTTATGTAAGCACTGTGGATTGGTATAAATTAACACTCAATTCAAAAGCTGATTTTTTCTTCAAAAACAATAAATTCGAAGCAGAGTGTGTTAACAAATGCCCTGAAAATTGTGTGAAAACAAAGATGGACAATGAAAATAAATCACGATGTTGGAATGCTGATAGCTGTCAAAAAAATCTTGGTAAGTGAATTTCATATTTCATTCTGGAATTAAAAGGATTCGTCACTTGATCAACTGAAAGAGCCTTCCAGCTTACTGTAATACATTCAGAATGAAAATCTGACCTTGGATATACCTACAATATGAAGATTTTACAGTTTTTATTTAATATTTATTGGTGTGGGGGAAGGGGAATGATGTTAAATTGTAGGAAAATTGAACTGTAATTTTCATTATGCATGCTGATATAGTTTGGTTTTTCTTAACTGTCATTGATTTTTTAGTCTGAAAGATTCATTTTGTTGGCCCAAACTTCAGTTCTATCAACATGTCCATAAATAGATGACAATTTCTCTATATCTTTTTTACATTCCTTCACTTCTTGATTGAAAGATATAACTTTCCACCGCTCATTTCACCTGTAGATGTAGTTTGTCTATGAGGCCATCTTGTCAAAGCAGCAGGTGGTTTCCAGACAACCAGCTGTACTTGTTTCAAAATTAGTAACAATCAAAATCTATGCAAATTAAATGAAAAAGAAAATGTCATGATGCTGATTTGGATATTATGTAATGTCTATTAGTACTGCTGTTTTTGGAATGAATTACAATTAATGAATATCGTTGCTAACAGCGAAGTAAGCAAACTCTTTGAACAGGATGTTTACATGTATTAAATGGCGTCATGTACAATGCTAGTGTACAATCCAATCAAATTGCTGCATTTACAAACTTCTATAATACATGGAAGGTGACTATTGCAGTCAAGACAAAGTTTATAATAGCTTGACATTTTGAAGGTGTATTGTAACAGTGTGCAAGTCTCTAATTTTATGCATTTCGTTTGTTTACTTCAGTTATTATTGACAGCTATGAGTCACAATGCAATAAATAACAGTTTCCTTTTGTTAGATTGTAATAACCTTGAAATTTATCGTTTCAAATTACAAACAGTTACTATTTTTTCGTTTGAGATGATCGAATAAAAAATCACAAAATGATTTACTTGAATATTTATTAAAGATCAGGATATATTATGTATTAGGTATGAATATGAATTGGTCAAAAATCATCACATTTAAGTTTCCCTTGTAGTTTAAAATGGATAATTTGTTAATTTTGATATTTACTGTACAATGAACATAATAACTTATCTATCTTGTATCTGCCTGCGATTAGCGTGGGAAAGGCATCTTTATTTCAGATGAAAAAATAATCTGAATGTCTTTGTGCAACAGGTCGTAAAGTTTAAAGAACCCTTGACAGTAGGAAATACAAAAGAGTAAGCTTTAGTTGTCCTGGCAAAATTTGTGATTTACATATTTTGATATATCATGAAGTTTGTGATTTACATATTTTGATATATCATAAAGTTTGTGATTTACATATTTTGATGTATCATGAAGTTTGTGATTTACAAAATCTGATTTATCATGAAGTTTGTGATTTACAAAATTTGATTTTATCATGAAGTTTGTGATTTACATATTTTGATTTTATTATGAAGAGTTTTTGATTTATAAAGTTTGATTTTATCATGAAATTTGTGATTTACATATTTTAATTTTATCATAAAGTTTGTGATTTACAAAATTTGATTCTATCATAAAGTTTGTGATTTACAAAATTTGATTATATCATAAAGTTTGTGATTTACAAAATTTGATTCTATCATGAATTTTGTGATTTACAAAATTTGATTCTATCATAATTTTGTGATTTACATATTTTGATTTTATCATGAAGTTTGTGATTTACAAAATTTGATTCTATCATAAGTTTGTGATTTACATATTTACAAATTTTGATTTTATCACGAAGTTTGTGATTTACAAAATTTGATTCTATCATAAGTTTGTGATTTACATATTTACATATTTTGAATTAATCACGAAGTTTGTGATTTACAACATTTGATTCTATCATAAGTTTGTGATTTACATATTTACATATTTTGATTTTATCACGAAGATTGTGATTTTCCAGATTTTGATTTTTCATATTCAGCAAACAAACATATAAATAGTCAAATGAAATTAAATTGACAGCTTTTTAGATATAAGAAGTACCAGGTTCTGAGGAAAGGATTTATGATCTACTCCACTGTATCACCAAGGGAAATACAAACAATTTAATGTTCATATCTGTTAGTTAAATACTGTGTTTATAAACAACTCTCCAGAGATATACTATGTCGAGATTGGTCAACTAATATACAATATATACTAATTACCAGCACGATAACCTCTCGTACAACAATCAAAATATTTAATGTTGTTATCTTTTCCCATTTTGTTCACTTTTCACTAGTTTTATCCTAGATTTCAACGCTGTATTTGGGCATACTATATTGTCCATTTTTGTTTTAAGTGGGTGTTAATAGATTGGTCATCAAGTATCCAATTACAAACCCCTTTTAATAAGTGATACAGATGGCACAAACTGATCCCTATCAGGTGGTAAGGCTAATATTTGGAGCACTGTATACCTTTAATCCTTCATTATATACAACAATCAAAATATTTTATGGTGCAAGGAGCAGAGATAATTTGCACCAAACATCAACATGGGCATTCCACTTTTATATAATGTAGTTGTGAAGACAAAATAGGAATAACAATTTATTCTGCATCAAAAAAAACCAAAAAAATGCCATGTTTGCTGAACTACATCTATGTATTATGGCAAATGCCTGATCTGTATGTGCATGACTAGATTTCTGCTTTGAAAATGAAAAAAAGATTCTCTGTAGGAATAGACTTTCTCAAGCACTTAACCTTTTACCATGGTAACTGTTCTGAAACCTGTTCTTGTTATGTAAAAACAATGCTTCTGCCAGTGGGCTGATATTATCATGGAAGCATGTTATCTTTCTAAAATAATGTAATTAATGCAGTCAGAATAGTGGGTTGACCTCCCACACACCACACTGTGATAGTACTATGTCTAGACAGGTTTTAAGAATTGGCTAGTTAGAGCCATTGGAGATGTTACAAATTTTCTGGGACATGTGAAGCATGGTAACAAATAGAACAGTTTTAAGAGTAACTATATGTGCTCCTATCATGAGTACTGACCATTTTTTAGTAAATGGGAACATCAACATCATTAGCGTGAATGAAAAATTTTACACAGGCTCTTTTTAGAGGAATTCCTCCATTTTCTGGCCAGTGTTATTTTTTTTATTTCCAAAAAATTTGGTTTGATGATAAGATTTCTTTTTAGGACATGATTTCAAAAGCATCTATTAAATAGTAAAATCTCTTTGGCCCCCTTGATCCTAAGCTGATAATTTCCATTTCCTCTATATTTTTTTTAATTTCTCACTGGGATCTCTGTCTTCTTATCATTTCAAAATTTGTTTTTGCCAGATTACAGCTTCTAAAAAGTATTCGCAAAGTATCATACATCTTTTTTACGTAATATTATCATTGAAAATGAAAATAATCTATGAGTGTGAATAAACAGTTGAGTTCAAGTGCTTTTTCTCGTCATTCAACAGCTGTATGAAATGCACTATCATTACACCATATGTGGGATTGTTATTGGTTTTCATTTGTTTACTTGATTGATTTTCTCTTATTTACAACTTTCAAGGTTACTGAATGAGATAAGATATAATTCCTGATACAAATAAATCGTTGATTTGTTGTGTAAAGGAGGAAGTCATGAAATGAGCATTGATTTATGATTGGAAAGTCATGGAATGAGCATGAATTCAGCATTTGGAAAGTCTTGAAATAAGCATTGATGTATTGGTAGGGAAGTCATGAAATGAGCATTAATTAAACATTGGAAATCAGCATATTGATTTAATGTAGGGAAAGTCATGAAATAAAACATTGATTGAGCATTGATGTAGTGTCAGGAAGTCATGAAATGGGCATGGATTCAGCATTGGGGAAGTCATGAAAGGAGCATTTAAGAAGTCATGGAATGAGATTTGGGAAGTCATGGAATGAGCATTGATTTGATGTACGGAAAGTCATGAAACTAGCATTAATGTACTGGTAGTGAAATCATGGAATTAGCTTTGATGATCTTTTTTTGATGTCATCTTTAATTTGAGCATACAATCTACTGTTTGAAATTCTGAGAGAATATAAAAGAATCTAGATTCGTCAACAAGCCTCTTGCTAATAATGAAAATATTTCAAGGTTTGGTCTCTTTCACTATTGTCAGGAAATCTCCTGTGTTTTGATCTGTGGTTATTAATGGCAGTCTTTAAAGGTTATGAACATTAACAGATAATTCAAGCTGGGCTTATATAAAATGTTATTTGCCTTCATTATACTCAAATCATATTACTTAAGTTCTAATTATCAGGTGTTCAGTAAATAACCAACATTGATCCCTTTTCCTTACATAAGTATTTTTTTCTTAATGGAAATCGACATTAAGATGAATTAAGTAAAAGTCTAAATCTGCTTGAAATGAGAAAAATGGAAAACAGAAATACTTAATGATACAACACTTAATAAGGTTCATTCTAAGTTATTATAACAGGTCAAACCGGTTTTCAACTTTCAAGAAGAATTATATTTCTTTTTTTTTTACCATACCTGAATTTAATTACTGTTCTTAAATTGTATAGAAATGCTGGATAACCAGAGATTAGAGAATGATTGTGGTAATCTAAAAGATTTGGATCCAGTACTTTACTAATATTAATTATAATTACTTATCAAGTAATAATCTTCTTATAGTATAAATTATAAAGGCCTTTGCAACTTTGAAGTTGCTGAAAGATTAATGAGATAAACTCATCTGAAGGTCACAAAATCTATTAAGGATCGTTAGATTTGGGAGAAGGAACTTTGTTATTCATAAAAAAACACAGACTGAAAAGTTTGGATAAATCGTCACTTCCAGGCTGTTATTAATATTCTCATGGGTAGTTATATTTAATGATGTTACGACATGGTGGGATATATGGCAATGATATCTGTACACTTCAGCAATTGATGGGAAAAGATGTGGAGCAATTTCCATATAGTGTATTGTACAGGATAATAGATACTGTGAAAAA